CCCCCCCCCCCCCCTCTTCCAGTCCCGCGGGAGCTCGCCGCTGCAGCTCAGCCTGCTGCAGCTGGAGGAGGCCCCTGAGGGCGGCTCTGCGGCCGCAGGGACCATGGGGCCCACAGAGACCGTGCGAGCGGGGCCCGACTGCCAGCCAGGCTCATCCTGGGACCGGCGGCCCGAGGCACCGCCAACCGTAAGGATCTCCTGATGCCCTGTGTCTAACGAAGGCAGGTGGCGAACGCAGGTGCCGCGGGCGGGTCACGAACATCCTCACCTCAGGTGGTCCCTGCACTGAGGTTACTACCAGACCATTTCAATTCCAACATAAACACGTGTGCTAGGAAATAACATTTTCCTGGTAAAAGACCCTATCAGAGTAGACCAGTTTTCATTGTCTTGGGATCTGAAGGGAAAAAAGGAGATTGATTGTCTGATGACGGATGCAGGCTCCAAATAGCCACAGGTGATTTCGTGACTCGTCGTCACGGGCCTCCAAGTTTTCCATGAATGATTCGAGGATAAAGCACAGTCACGTGAAGGGTCAGAACGGAGGCTTCTTGGAGGGCAGCTGGCAACAGGGGTTCACGGTGAAGGAGCAGGGCCAGGAGGGAGCTGGAAGCCAGTCCCGTGGGTGTGCATCCTCCCAAGTCTTGAGGGACGTTGGCGTGTACTCGTACTCGGGTAATGAAATTGTAGTTTGATCTCCAGTTAATGCTTCTGTGTCCTGAGAGCTTCGGTGGGTGGTCGCATCCGCTGAGGCAGTGTGATCCGTGGGCCCTCCAAGGAAGGAGCTGCGCGGGGCTCCCCTGCCCATGCTCCTGGGAGAGCAAGTGGGAACAGGGTGGCTGTCCCAGCACGGCTGCTGCCCTCCTGACTCCCGGGCCTATAGTCTGGGTTCCAAGGATTGGAGGGTTGGGGCGCTCCCAGGCCAAGCCCCCCTCATGCCCAGGCCTGTCCCCACTCTGGGGGCACGGGAGCCGGGAAGCCAGAGCCCTGCCTCTGCGAGGAGCAGCTTTGGGGTGCTGCAGGAGACACTTGCCCGCCTTGACGGAGGAACAAGCACGAGGCTTCCCCCGCAGGGATCCAAGAGCTGCCGTCTTTAGTGGGACTCTCCCCAAATTAAATTTAATTAGGTGGCATCCATCCCACCACCAAGAGTCCCGCTGTGGTCCCAGTAACCACAGGGTCTGCACATGTGGCACGTGAAGGAAGGGCCAGCGGTCCAGGGAGGGCGCACCCGCTGTGTCCCTGAGAGGCTGGTGCAGACCAGACACCTGACTTGGCGTCTCCTCCCTGTTCCCAAAGTGCGACAAGCCCAAGGACGCCCAGAGCAGCGATGCCCTGTGCACGCCCAGTGGCCTGCTGCACCTCCTGCTGCGTGAGGACCTCTGCTCGGCCACGGGCTCAGCCCCGTCCGGGAGTGGGGCCTCCACCACCTCCTGCTCCCTGGGCTCCGGCTCGCTGGGCTGCGACGCATCCATAAGTGGGACCGGTATGTAGGTGGTGCTGGGAGCACCTGGGGATCGGGGTGGGGTGGGAGGTGGCAGGTGTGTTTGGAAGATTCTCACGTGATACACCTGGGTGTCCTTGACTCTCCACCCCCCAGGGAGCCAGTCACCCCAAAGCCGCAGGCTGACTTGGGCAGGGCCCCGACATCCAGGCATCCAGCTGCACCCCGAGCAGCTCCTCGGGGCCCACGGCCGTTCAGACAGGCAGCTGGGTTCCTCCTACCCCGCTCCACCCGTGCGGACAGCAGCCCCGGCCCACCCCACTTCCCTCTGTTGCCCGTCGCTCTTGACCTCAGCGGCACTGCAGGCCCCCCACCCCAGCTGGCCCTGCTTGGACTGTCCCTGGGGCTCCCCGGGTGTGCCAGGAGGGCTGGCAGTGGCTCGCCTTCCTGACTTAGATCCCCTGGTGAGAAGCTAGCGTGTGGACCGACCGGGATCTTTCAGGTGTGATCTGGAACCGCCCCACGGGAAGAGCACACACTCTCCCCAGACTGTAAGACCCCCACTTCCCTGAAGTGAGCGGGCCCCTCTCCCTGCGGGAGGCCTGCCGGGAGGCGCACCGGGACAGCCGCCTGCCGCTCACAGGGGCGGCTTCTCTGTGGTCTGGCTTAGTCCGGAGGTAGTGAGCCTAGGAGAGAAGGGCACGGCTTCTAAGATATAGCCCCACCTGGACTCCTCGGGGCCTCCCCAGGAGAGAATCACCTCCATGGTACCAGCTGATATCCCGTTTTTAAATGACCCAGACAACTCGAGAATTGGAAAGAAAAGGGAAGGTCCACCAACCCAGGCACCAGTTACCAAACAAAACCCTTCAGCTCTGTAATGTTGCCGTTCCTTTACACGAGCACAGCATGCAAGGTCAGCGCAGTAGTCAAGGTTTTGACCTGCCACGCTTTGTGTTTTTAAAGGCAGCAGCAACACAAGTCACACCAGCAAGTATTTTGGAAACATCGACTCCTCAGAGAATAACCACAGAGCAAAAGTGAAGGTGGACATGGCGGAGAGTGAGCGCCTCAAGGACGTCCTCCAGGACCCCGTCTGGCTGCTCGGGGCCGACACGGACGACAGCGTCATGATGGCATACCAGATGCCTTCGCGGTAACCGTTCGCCGCCGGCTCGGGACGGTGAAGGGCTGGGTTCAGGATTCCCCAGAACCACAAGGCCAGAGGCCTTATCTCAGATTGAGCTGAGTGCACAGATAGAAGCAGGGCCCCTCTAGATGGTGCCGCTGGCCACACATAGCCCGCAGAGTGATCTCTACAGGCCTCCAGGATGACGGGCTCTGGGGACCCGCCACGGTGTCACAGACGTTTACAAAGCACTCGTGCCAACGTCGTCTCTTGCTCTGTTGCCAGCAACCCTATGTGCTCAGTGATTGTGTGTGTGTGTGTGTGTGTGTCTTAGAGATGCAGAAACCAAGAGTCAAGGTGGGTGACCAGCCCAAGGCTGCTGGCTGCTCTGTAGGGACCTGGGTCTGCGCCTCAGCTCTGACCACTCCAAGGAACCTGGAACCCATTAGGGTCCCTGCCCCTGCGCAGTGCCCCCTCGGTGGAGGGACATGGCGGGGAGGAAGGACGGATTAACCCTGAGGCTCAGCACAGCCAGGCCTCTGGGCCAGGGGAGCCCAGGGCTCTGTCTCCAGGACTGCTGCGGGGCAGGCCAGTGTCGGCAGGTGGCAGGGGAGGGCTTGTCTACCTACCACCTCGCTGGTGAGAACCTCCCGGGCACAGAACCAAGTGTCTGCAGATACCTGGCTCCCATGGCTGCGCTAAAGTGAAATGAAAATCAGAACTCGGTGTATCATCTTCATAGAAAAACTACAGACTATCTACTAGGGAGATGACGTTACCTTAAATAGGGTAATTTATTTTAAATGGAAAGGAAATTTAAACAAAATCATCTAAAATTACGTGATTAACACTGGAAGTGTTGGTAGAAAATGAGCATATTCTTTAAAAAACAAAGCCCTTGAGATGTTCTAAAGCTTCCCTATTTCTAAATATTTCATGAAGAAATTTAGAAATGGTCCTGCAGGAGGACAGGGAGAAGCTGAAGGTGCTGCAGAGGCTCCAGCCCAGGTTCACAGACAGGCAGAGGCAGGAGCTGCAGGACGTCCACCCGTGGATGCTGTCTGGCGGCCTGCCCGCGGCCTTCGACGTGGCGGTGAGCTCTGGAGCGGGTTTTCTGACTTTGTGTTAAAAGGCACTGTGATGAGAATGCTCTGTGCTGTCTTTGCAACTGTTCTGTACATTTAAAACTTCTAAGATTGAAAGTTCATTAAAGGACTTCCCTGGTGGCGCGGTGGTTGAGAGTCCACCTGCCGATGCAGGGGACACGGGTTCGTGCCCCGGTCTGGGAAGATCCCACGTGCCGCGGAGCGGCTGGGCCCGTGATCCCCGGCCGCTGAGCCTGCGCGTCCGGAGCCTGTGCTCCGCAACGGGAGAGGCCACAACAGTGAGAGGCCCGCGTGCTGCAAAAAACAAACCAAAACAAAACAAAAATACCACCACACTGTTAGGTTTCCTTCAAAGAACTTTCTTCCAATGGCTTTTCAACACTGTTTCCAAAAAGGTCTCCTAAATATCTAGTCTCAATCACATGCTGAAATTTGAATTTTTTTTTCTTTCAATTCTGTTTCCAGTGAAAACACCCACACACACACTTCCTCTGTCATAAACCCTCAACATCCACATAGACCATTAAGTAACAGGGAGACAGCAGGTCCCCACCCTCCCTCCCACTCTCGCCAGGCTGACCCTCCTGTCTCTGTTCCTTCCCGAGGGTCCCAGAGGTGTCTCTGTACCCCAGCTCCTCTCCCCCGCTCCCTCCCAGAGCACCCCCATACCAGCACTGCCCGGGAGGCTGCTCTTGTCAAGGCCTCCAGGTCCAGCAGCTGAATCCACTGACGTCTCCGTCCTCACCCTAACTGACCCACTCGCGGCATTCAGCGACGGCCAGCCCCTCCTCTGAGAGCGTCCCTCCCTTGGCCCCGGCCCCTTGGCCCCTCGCTCTTGTCCCCGTCAGTGTGGACGCGCCCAGGCTCAGGGTTTGCACCTTCCTCTTCTGTCTACACTCCCTCCGGTGCTGTCAGCTGTCTCCTCCTGACCGAAAGTAGCATCTCCGTGCCGAGACTCCCTAGCGTCCACCTCTGTCGAACTTCATCTGCTGTCCTGGTTATGCTCAGAGAGAGCCAGCCCACCCACTGTCTTCCCACCCACTCAAGGGTGACTCCATCACCCCTCTTGCTCGGTCCACAGCCCTCTGGACTCTCTTCCTCTAGTGCCCCATCCAGTCCACTAGCAGGTCCTACTGGCTTGACCTTCAAGGTGGCTGGAAACCAGCCCCTTCCCATCACCTGCAGCATCACCACCCTGGTCCACGCCACAGTGCTGCTTCACCTGATTCTCACAGTATGCCCCCCGCTGCACTCTGTCCCCCCTTGTCCCCTACAGTGAGATCACGTCACCTCTCAGCTCTGAGCCCTTCCAGCGGTGCCCCTTCTCAATCAGAATAAATTGCTGCAAAGCCGTTAAAATATGACACCCCCTCCCCACAGCTCCCATCTCCCCTCACTCCCTCCTCTCCAGTTGTTCCCTGAAATCATCAAGCAGGCTTCTGCCTCAGGGCCTTTGCATGTGCCCTTCCCTCTGCTTGGAATCCTCTTTCCTCAGACAGACACATGGCTCACTCCGGCTTCCTTCAAGTCTTTTCTTCACATGCTGCTGTGTTATTTATCTAATACTACCTAGCAAATAACCCCAAAACTTAGGAGCTTAAAATAATAATCATTTATTATCTCCCACTGTTTCTTTGGGTTGGGAATTTAAGAGCAACTTAGCTGGGTGGTTCTGGCTCAGGGTCTCTCCTGAGGTCGGAGGTGAGATATTGGCCGGGGCTCGTGCCATCTAAAGACAGGCTGGTGGCTGGAAGATCCCCTTCCAAGGAGGCTCCCTCACGTGCCTGCACGTTGGTGCTGGCTGTTGGCAAGAGGCCTCAGTTCCTTGCCGTGTGGCTCTGTCCATCGGGCTGCTTGTGTGTCCTCATGACATGATCCCGGCCTCCCCAGGGAGAACCGAGGGGCTGCAGTGCCTGTTACAACCCACATGTCACCTGCATCACCTCCTCTTTGTTAGTGGCAGGTCACTGAGTCCAGGCCTCCACCTTCTGAGGAAGGGGTGTCAAAGAATTTGTGGGCATATTTTAAAACCACCACAGTCACTCTCTCAGTGGAATGTCAGTAAAATTACAGACGTCCTCACATGCCTCATTCCATGTCAGTCCCGCATTTCCCATCTTTTAATACACTGTGGAGCATTTCTCATTCGGCTACTAGGAGATCACCTCCACTGGGACACAGATTTTCCTCTTTGTTCACTGCTGACTCCCAGTGCTTAGAACGTGCCTGGAACACGACAGGTGCTTAACAGATGGGAAATGAACAAGAGACAGTACATTGTTGCTATCCCATTCTACGGATTAGAAAACTGAGGTTAGAGAAGGTCGGTAGCAACTCCAGGTCCCACAGGCAGAAAGAGGAGGAGCTGGCACTAGAGCCTCTGGTTGATGCTGTCCCCTCGCTACGCACAGCCACCTCTCAGACAAGGGAGGGGCCTGGGGAGCTGGGAGCGGGGACCCCTTGGGAAGAGCTCTGGCCCCTTGGAGAGCAGGCAGGGGTCCCACGCCCGTGGCACCTGCTCGCCCTCCAGCAGCCTCACAGCTGACACCTGATCGCCTGCACCTCTCTCAGCTTGAACTACTTTTTCATACCAAAGATCTCATTTTTGTTACTGATTTACATTTTTTCTTTTAAGGAATGCGTTTGCTGTGAAAACAAGGGAAAAGACAACATTTGCGTGCGGTATGAGGAAGCTACCCCTACTCTGGGACTCGGCGGAACAACCGACACCACAGAAGAGGAAAACGGACCCTCCCTGAGTCACAGACACGAAGGGCAGACGTAACCCCTGCAGCGGGACAGCCAGTGGCGTACATTAGATGGTGCTCTGAGGAGAGGGAGGGTCTTCACCTGTGTCTCTAATGAAATGGACGGATATACTTACGTGGCTTTTTTTGTTCTAGAAAAAGCCCCTCGTTTTCCGAAGGGGTGATTTAAAACCGTGGTGGGTAGAAGTTTGGGAAGAAATAGTTTTTTGTATTTAAAATATAAATATGGAGTTTTCGGGGACGGGGGAAGAGATTCTCATCATTGTTTAACTTGAGAAAGACGGCCTCCCTCCTCGTGTCAGGGAAGCGGCTGAGTGCCCTCAGCCAGAGCACCAGTGTCCGCCGGCTCCCCGTGGGCGGTCCGGAGGCATCGCACCCGGCTGTGACCAACAGCTAGGTTGCCACAGGTGACTCCGCGCTGAGGGGCTGGCCTTTCAGAGCTTCCCCAGGGTGTGTTTGGATCAGATCAAATTATGTCCTCTCTGGGGAGCTGCTTTTTATCTAAATTATTTAGTCAGGCTAGATGTTTTTAAAACATACCAAGTGGAGATCCCAGCCTCTGCTAATTTTCTTTCAAAATGTTTTGCATTCAGTGGCGTGAAGCGTAGTTTGGCAGACCAGCGGCTCCAGCTTCAAGCGTGGTAGCAGCAAACATTTCACCTGATGTAGCTTAAGTTTGGGGTGAACGAAGTTGTAATGCTCGCTCTGGACTAAAGATGTCTAGTGGTTTGTGTGACCAACTCCATCATAGATATATATATCCTCGGAAATACACAGACCCTTCTGTATATTTTGACATCATTCCCGTATCCTTTTCAGACCGGGATAGCCAACATGTAGATAAAAACACATTGTCGGTCATCCCCTTATAGTGACTTCCCTCTGCAAACCAGGCTTTGATCGCCACACTTGGGACCCACTCGTATTTATTCTTTGATTGGCACTTCCCAGACATCAGCTCTGGCCCAGCCAAGCCAGCGCTTTCTCCTGACTTAGCTGGTGGCTGCATCTGTGTTTTCCGGGGTGCTGTGAGCTAACCGCTCCCACACCTGGGCTGGGACACTGACCCCTAATTCTTTTCATGAACCTGACCTCATTGGTGCGACTTCCGGTCTCTGTGGTGATGTCCACTGGTGTCGCTGGCACTTTCAGGTGAATGGGACACTTGGGGAAAAGTGAGACCAGACGGCCCAGCTTTTTGCAAAACCTCGTATTGCATCGTCTATCCCAAAGATTGTGTGGAAAAATGTTACATTGGTCCCTAGGGTGAATGAGAAGCTGCCAGTGATGAAACAACTGACTTACAATTGCATTGCGTCTGTAGAAAGTTAAAAGGGGGCAGCTTCCCCTGTTCTTTGCTGGAGAAACAGCTACTAGAACAGGTGACGTCTCCTTGCAATCCAGTTGGTTTTCGTAGTCAAACCACTTTATGCCTGAATATCAACCCTATTTTTCATAAACTCGAACACAGAAAGTTTAATTTTTTTATTTTTTTAAATTTACAACGAAACATCACCTGCAGGTACCCAAGACAAGGTGTAGTCTATGCATTTGTGTGGAGACCAGATGCTACAAACTGCTTCCTGTCACTAAAGTCAGTTCATTAAGGGATTAGATGGGAGTCAAAGTTGCATTGACTTGCCCTAAACACAAGACTGCCAACACGTTCTCTCCCGTTAGGAATGTTTACCGTCAGCATTATCTTAGCATTTATGTATATTCATTGATTGTTAACTACTGCGTAGCTTTGACGTGTGCTGAGAAGTTGACAGCAGGAGCATTTTGTGAAATTGTTTACACGGTGCCACGCATCGGGTCTTACGTTTTCGTTAGTATGTGTGCTTACACGGGTGTTATAAAAAACTTCTCGATTTTAAACTGAGCCTTCTTTTTAATATATTCCTAAAAAGATGTAAATAAGCTCTCAGAGTCTGTGTAACGACGTGTTAAACCTTGCCGGACAAGTCGTTTGTTTATGCGCAAACCAGACTTTCTTCACCCAGTGCAATATGTTTGTTGGACTGCTTGTGTCTTTTTATGATTTTTTGCCTTTTAGAAAATTGGTAAATAAAGCAAGTATATTTTTATTTTTATTTGTGTGTATTTTTAATGTAGCACAGAGGAACAGGAACCTGAATAGAGATCAAAGATTATCAAAATCTTTTTTAAAAAAAAAAGAACCCGGGCTTCCCTGGTGGCGCGGTGGTTGAGAGTCCGCCTGCCGATGCAGGGGACACGGGTTTGTGCCCTGGTCCGGGAAGATCCCACATACCGCGGAGCGGCTGGGCCCGTGAGCCATGGCCGCTGAGCCTGCGTGTCCAGAGCCTGTGCTCCGCAACAGGAGAGGCCACAACAGGGAGAGGCCCCCATATCGCAAAAAAAAAAAAAAAAAAAAAAAAAAAAAAGAACCCTAGAAATTCTGGATTAGGAACTCTTCTGTCACAAAGGCCCCCCTCACCTCTTCCCCTGCACAGGGTGCCTCTCGCTGGTCCCTTCCTGCCTCTCTGTGTCTCTCTGACATGCAGCCCCACCCCAGTGAACTCCCAATGATTTAGATCTAATCCTGGAGTCCCGTTCCCCCATGATTTTTCACTCACAGATGGGGAGTAGAGCCACTCAGCTCAGCCCCTGGTGCCCCTGTCCACTCTGCGGTGACCCCAGGCACCTGCTCCATTCTCTTCCTGCCCCCTCCAGGATAGTCTGTCTCACCTGGGCTGGCTGCCTGTGTGCTGGCCACGGGGCTGAAAGCAGAGTGGTCTAAAGGACCTCACGTCTCCATCAGAGGTGATACAGGCAGCGTGGCAGCCTCCTCCCACCCCAGCCCCCAGTCCTTCCTTCCACAGCGATGAAGTCGGGCAGGGCCCGGTCAAACAGTGGAGGCCTGCTCCCCACACCCCACTTTTCACACCAGGACCGTATTGTGGTGTCGGAGCAGGGAGATGAATGGATCCTGGCCCTGGTGCCCAGCCTTCCAGAAGCTCCCTGCGCAGGAGGGAGGGCTCGACGCCGCTTCCTGTCCTGGCTGCCTAGATCCAAATGGTGCTTGGGGGCTGGGGAGGCAAAGTCCTCCCAGTGAGCATGGAGGCCTCTGCAAACCCGCTAAGTGGCCAGATATGGCTGTTTCACTGAACGTCTGAGTGCCTTTGGGGGCTCTTAACTGCATTTTTATCTACCATATATCCCCAAGGGCATGCGCTCCCCTTATTTCTAAACCAAAAGGAGCTTCTCCAAGCCCCTGGGCTGATTGCCCACAAGGGGCCTGAACATCCAGAGGCTGGCCACTGTCTTTGTTCCCTGGGGATTTATGGCTTGCCACCCCTGCCGCTAACTGGTCCCCCTGTGGCCACTGCAGCCCTGCCCAGCCTCTGTTGGCCTCTGTTTTTGGATATGAGGGGATCAAAGATCCCAAATGCTCAGGAAGTCTGTGCTCAGGCAACCTTTGAACGGGGGATCAGTCCAAGGGACAAATGGCAGGAAGCGTGTCTGCTAGGCGAGGCCATGCAAAGGGGAAAGAAAGGGTGTGGTGGTCCTGAGACGGAGTAGCCAGGCTTCTCGGAAGAAAAGGCCAAGCCAGCCAGCCAGCCAATGGGCGCACTAAAGGAAATGGAGGCTGACTTCGAAGATGAGGCCTTGGGCAACTTCCAGTCTAACCAAGAAGGATTTTGCTGCCTCACACTCCCTGCTCTACCCCTATACTTTCTTCCCCAAGGGTACTCGGTCAGACTGAGGCATATCCCAGTACTTAATTTCTCCTTCCTTAACTCTAGACAGCATTCCTCAATCCCCCCACCCCACGTAAGACAAGGGTTATAAGGTCCCTAGCCCATGCTTCAGCCTCCTCCCTTCTCCTGACAACTGTCTTCTGTCCTTTTGTTTTTACAAAGCAATTTTATATCCTGTAACCATAATTAAGCCTTCCTTGCCTTTTCTATAGATTGACTCTAAAATGTTGAAACCCTATGAACAATGTTCCATTGTTCTGACTGTGAAAGAATTGGCTACTGGGCCAAGTAAGCGCTGAGATTACACTTCTCTTCAGCAGCTTTTTGTTTTTCCCGGAGTTCCCAGTTGCCTCTCATTTTTTGCTTTGCACCATTTGCCTTTATCATTCTTCCTCCGCCTCCCACGTTCAGTTCCCCATCCAATCAGGACAAGATTAATAGTCTTTTCCCAGAGAGGCCTTCCCCAGAGCCCTGATCATCCTGTTCCAATACAAACTGCCTTTCAGGGAGAGCATTCTAAAATACTTGTTTGATCTTATTCAAACAATATAATCAATAACGGAAGGGGTATGAATCAGAGTACAAGAAATATCACTGAGTTTAGTTTTCCATATCTGAGCTCCTCAGAGTAGTAGAAACTTAATTGTAGTTTCTTGGGGTGGGGGTGGGATCTCCTTCCCTGGGGTGACGTCTAAATGGTGAAGAAAAGTAAAGTGACAGGCCAGCTATCGGCTCTCTTGGGGTTCGCTACTCAAGCCCCTCCCCCACTCTGTCAGTCCCTCCACTAGGAGTAGAGGGGGAAGGGTAGTCAGGTCTCTGACCAGGCAGGGGAGGATGGGAGGAAGAGAGCTAAGCTTTCCGGCTTGTGGGGGAGACTGAGGACAACACAGTGATTGAAGGAAAGGAGTAGGTTCATACCTGGGTGAACAGTGCAGGGCTGGGGAAGTCTCCGGGCCCTGCTCACAGAAAAGCAAAGAGATAGCCAGGTGAGAATCAGCAGAAGGGGTTCCCAGGTACTTATAGAGGCCAGTGAGGTGACTTTGGGAACCATCAAGCCACTCACCAAACTTGTCCTACCTATGGAGGTCCCTCGGCGGGGAGCTGAAGTGAAACAGTCACTTGAAGGGCTGCCAGATCCATCTTCAGATGGCTGGGGGCACAGGTGGGTGTCTGTGGCCTAGTCCTACCACCCCACCACACTGCAGTCCCTGGATTTTTCTTTCCCCTGCTGCCTTCCAGCTAGGCTTGGGACACTCTCTCAATTTCCCTACCTACCCAGTGCTTCTGCTAGGCCAGGCTCTGTGCTGGGGGTAGATAAGGGGTCCTAGGTCAGGCTGTACCCCCAGGGATGCTTGTAACCTGGAGGGGCATAGACCAGACCCTGACAATCCCAGTCCCAGGCAGGAAGCAGAGGATTGGGTAAAGGGAAGCTGAGACCTGAACAGTGAGGAAACAGCCATTGAAGGGAGATCCCAGCGTGTTCCAGGTGTAAGGCTGTGTGTGTGCAAAGGCTTCACGGTCTGAAGGCAAATTGGTATTCTGGCTGTGCCAGGAGACGCCGTGGACCTAGGCCGGTGGGGCTGCGGCCAGGCTGGAGCCCCCAGGGAGCTGCCCCACCGCCCACGCACCCCACCCTCACGGGAGGCTGGGCCAACAGATGGGCGGCCAGCCGTGGGGGTGGCGGTCGTCTGGCGGACACAGGCGCACCCACCGCCCGCTCCCGCCCGAGTGACAAAGCGGCAAAGACAAAGGCGAGGCCAACACCTGTCGCTCTTGGCTAGGCTGCCGCTTTTCTCCGCCCGAAGCGGCTGCAGCTGCCAACTGTCACGGGCATCAAGTTACGGGGACCAGACGGCGGCCTCCACCAGCCGGGCGGGGAGCGGGGGAGGGCTAGGGGGGGAAAGGGAGCCGAGGGGGGACGGAGAGGGGGACGAGGGGGACAGGAGGCAGGGAGGGGGGCCGGGGCGAACAAACAAGGGTGCGGGGAAGGCGGGGACCAGGGAAGGGCGAGCTCGGGTTGGGAATCAGGGAACGTAGGTTCGGGGGAGGGCGGGCAGGGAAGGGAGGGCGGCGGTGGGTGCTGAGGGGGGAAAGGGAAGTGAAAGAGGCGTCGGGGAGCAAAGGGGACTAGAAGGAGATGAGGGGGACTCCGGTGGTGAGGGCGATGATGACCAGGAGAGAACAGACGGCCTGCGGGGACAGAGGATGACCCGAGAAGGAGAGCCTAGAGATGGAGCGGTGCGGGCGGGCCTGAGGTCCCCTCCCCACTAGGATCCCTGAGCGGGCTGAAGGCGGTGTCGACGTTCGGATGTCAGGACCCACAGGTCCGCAAGAAACGCACTGGGGCCAAGGGCCCGCTCCCACCCCCGCTGCCTAGGGGCCCTCACCTCCCTGGGGCTCTGCAGCCACCCCAGCCCGGACCTGTAGCTCCCTCCAGGCCCGGAGACCGCGGCCTTTGCTGTGGCTCTGGCCGCCACGACCCCGGCACTTGCGCAGGAGCGTTCCTCTCCTGTTGCACCTTTGGTGAACAAAGTCAAGCGTGAATGAATGAATGGGCAGATGGACGCGCCCCAGCTAGCACGCACCGCAGACCTGGGCGCCTTGCTCGGGGAAGGAAGGGAAACAAGCGCACCCAGAGCCACAGCTCCCCGAGTCATCGCCCCCTCCGGTGCCCCACAATGCCGGCGTGGCGCGGAGGCCCGGCTGGACCCCCCCAGTCCCCGGCCGCAGGCCACGCCCCGCCAGCTGCCGGCCGACCCCGGCGGCGGGGCCAGACAAAGCACGCCTCTGCCATTGGCTCTCACGAGCAATCGGCGCCTTGAGATGCAAATAAGGCGCTATAAAAGGGGCGGGCGCCGCTGCAGGCGTGAGGACGCGGCGTAAGACGCCACGGGGCGAGGGCGGCGGCGGCTGCGGGCCGCTGCGCTGCTAGGGGCGCGGGCGCACAGCGCTCCGGGCGGTGGAGGTCATGGCCCCGCTCTTGGCGCCCGGCCGGGACCGTGCGGCCCGGGAGGATGAGGACGGCTGCGAGGCGCGGGGGGACCGCAAGGTGCTGGCTGTAGCCGTGGATGGGCGGGCGGGGGGCCGCGCAGCGCAGCGCCGGGGCTCAGTTGCTCGCTTCCCGCAGGCCCGGAAACCCCTAGTGGAGAAGAGGAGGCGCGCGCGGATCAACGAGAGCTTGCAGGAGCTGCGGCTGCTGCTTGCGGGCGCCGAGGTGAGGCCGGCGGGCGGGCGTCCAGGGGCAGCGGGCGAGCGAGCGCGCGGGCGGGGGTCGCCGTCCGGCCTCGCCTCACCGACCCTCCCCACCGGGCGCTCCCGCCGGCGCAGGTGCAGGCCAAGCTGGAGAACGCCGAGGTGCTGGAGCTCACGGTGCGGCGCGTGCAGGGCGCGCTGCGGGGCCGGGCGCGCGGTGAGTGGCGGCGGGGCGCGCGGGCCGGGGGGCGTTCGCCTGGCCTGCCCCTGCCCGGGACCGAGGACTTCCCCTCCTGGAGCAGGGCGCGCCCCCCGCGTCTCCTGGGTGAGCCTTGTCCCCGGGGGCCGGGCGGGCCGGGCCACAGTAATCAGTTGCCGCTCACCGAACCGGGCGCGGCCCTCTCCCCTCCCACCCCTGAACACAGAACGCGAGCAGCTGCAGGCGGAAGCAAGCGAGCGCTTCGCCGCCGGCTACATCCAGTGCATGCACGAGGTGCACACGTTCGTGTCTACGTGCCAGGCAATCGACGCCACCGTCGCCGCCGAGCTCCTGAACCACCTGCTAGAGTCCATGCCGCTGCGCGAGGGCAGCAGCTTCCGGGATCTGCTGGGGGACGCCCTGTCCGGGCCACCGGGAGCCCATGGGCGGAGCAACTGGCCAGTAGGAGGCGCCCTGGGGTCCCCACTGCCCAGCCCCCGGGGCTCCGGGGACGACCAGTCCTCCGACCTGGAGGAGGTCCCCGAGGCTGAACTGAGCCGGGCGCCTGCCGAGGGGCCGGACTTGGTGCCCGCAGCCCTGGGCAGCCTGACCGCCGCCCGCATAGCCCAGAGTGTCTGGAGACCTTGGTGACCAGCGGCAGCCTGGGGCCTAAGGGGTGGGCCCTGCCTTCCCATGCTCTAGTTCCTCCTCCCTGTGGTCCAGATATCTGGACAGGGGCAGGGTCCTGGATATCTCCCAGTTCTGCTGCCCTCCTCCAATGGATGCTTGCAGGGCAGTCCCCGATAACCAGGCCAGCCAGGCCCCTGTTTCTTAAGGGAGTAACGTTTATGGACCATCCCCAGCCCCACCCCCTGCCCCCCTCGCCCTCTGGTGGGTGGAGGGAAGGAGCTACAGGCAGTATCTTGCAGGGCTACCAGGTCTCTCACCTGTCCCAGACTTCTCAGGCACTGTGTGGGTCTGGGGGCAGAGGTGACAGAGTGGAGCTGAACCTCTCCTGAGTGCTGGGCACTAGTGTCCTGGCAGCCCTGGCCATTCAGCCAGGACACAGGGGAGGCATTCTGCAGCACTGCCCAGAGCCGCCAAAGAGAAGCATGGCTCTCTGTATGTCTTGTGTTTAGCACACTTGAGTTTGTATGTTAGGTTGCCATCAGTTGTTCCAATTCTGTTAAGTAAAGGGTTTTGGAGAGTTAGTTACCCTTCTGAAGCATTGCTGAGTGCTGTGGTGTCACTCAGGTGTCAAATGCGTAAAGACTAAACCAAGCACATCTTTTCCCCCATATCTAATGCTGTGAGTGGTTTTAAAACTTCTGACCCTTTGTCAGCAAAGTAAGTAGCGTAACGGCAGTGGAGGTGGGACACCCCGTGGCCGGGCCTCACGTTGGACGGTGCCTCTACCTCCCTACTGCCAGGCCATTCCAGATCGGTTTCCCCTTCAGGTCCCTGGGCCCGGCCTGCACTCCCTGGGAATTGTGTGCATCCTGGCGATGGAAACCACTGCATGGAGTTTGTCTCCAGAGTAACTAAGCAACAGGGAGACGGCCTGTCCCTGGACCATTCTCTTGTTTGTGAGCTTCCAGGAATAAAACGAATGCCTGATTACTAGCCATGTGGTTTGGAAGTTTCTTTCAAAAGTCTGTTTCAAGGACCATGAGTTTGATGCAGACGTCGGTCTAATTAGGTGGTCAGTTTTCTTGACTGAAGAGGGAGCTTCCCCATTGCCAGTGACCTCGGGGCATGGAGACCCACCCGGTTCACGGCCCAGGCAGTTTGGACTTAAGGCCAAATTGAGCCCAGGAGGTCAGAACCCTTGGAAGGAGGGTGATGGGATGGGCAGCTGGGGTGTAGGGAGATGGCCCTCTTGGCCCGGGTCTGCAGACAGCATGCGGTCAGCTGATAGCAGTCACTGCCACAGGTATCCCGGCCCCTGCATCTCCAGCTCCAGGACCCCAAAGCAGCTTGTTCTTGTTCTTACTTTGGGTTGGCAGTGCCCAGGCCGGTCAAGGTGTGACAATTTAGGATTGACACCTGGGTCTCCTCTCCAGTGTGTGCCTTTGCTTGAAAAACATCTCTCCCAAGAACCCTTTTACAAAAGCCCCCTAGCAGATCCTGGCCACCAAGGGTTTTTCACTGTGGCTCCCCGGTGATTTAGTCTTAGACCTCGGCCACTAGGCTATAACCAGATGCAGCCTAATTTTAGCCACTGGGGATGAGTTATTGAGGGGTTGGGGTAGGGAAGCAGGTCCATAAAAGAGAGCTCAGGAGAGACGGAGACTTTTTCCTGGGATTATCTTAATCGCCCGAGTCAGATTGATGTAGGATGTGTCCACAGGGACACGAGAGCAGGTCCACCTGTAAGACGTCTGTCCCGTGTAGCTCCCAGCAGTACCCAAAGGCCACTGTGATGAGCTCTGATGCCACCTGGGGAGCATCAGACAGGGACTGTTTAGGAGGAACCACTCTTTCCTCTC